TCCTCCAGCCGGGCCCCACCTGGGCTGCGGGTGACACCCACCCTGTGTATGCCCCCTGCCTGCAGACCACCTCTGAGAGGGTGGATGGGCCTCGGGCAGGGCCACCCCGGCTGCCGCCATCGGCGTCTCAGCCGCAAAGGGGACGGACTCTGCCTCTTGAGGAGTCTCTGCAGTAGCCAATTCCTGCCCTGTCAGCAAAGCCCAGACCTTGGGAATCCAATCTCATTCAGGGGGAGGCTCCTGACTTCAGGATTCAGAGCCATGACCGGAAGCAGTGCTGGCCAAAGGCACGTGGTGGGTTGGCCCCACCTACCCTCTGTAGTGGGCGGTCGGAGCCCGGCAGTGAGAGGCCGAGGGGGCAGGGGGCAGGAGCAGGGAGCCCGGGGCCCCCGGAGCTGGTCAGTGTAAACCAGCTTCACTGGTGGCTCAGTGGTAAAGAACCTGTCTGCCGATGCAGGAAACATGGGTTCGAACCCTGGTCCAGGAAGAACCCACATGCCTCGGAGCAGCTAAGCCCGTGCCTTACAACTAGTGAGCCTGTGCTTGAGAGCCCAGGAACTGCAACTACTGAAGCCTGCTCACCCTAGAGCCTGTGCTCCACGACAGGAAAAGCCACCGCAAGGGGAAGCCCCTGCACCGCCATGAGAGTAGCTCCCGCTTCCTGCAACTAGCGAAAGCCCTCATGCAGCAACGAAGACCCGGCAGGGTCAAAAATATATACAGAAATAAAACTAACTTTTAAAAAAGTATAGACCCCTTTTACAGATGGAGAAACTGAGGTACAGAGAGAAAGCAGGCCCCAAGCCCCACAGTGAGCCAGTGGCCTCCCTAGCTCTCTCTCTGCTGGCCACACTGAGCAGTCAGTCCTCTGCTCACCCACACACCCCCTCACCTCCAATCCACATATACTGGCAAAGATCTCCAAGCCCAAGTTCTGCCTCTGTGTCCTAGACTCAAGGAAACGTTCGCAGGCCCGCGTGTGCTGGGAACGTGGGAATCCTCGGAACCCCAGAAAGGGAAGAGTCTGCCTCTCAGGGAGGGGAAACCGAGGCCCGGAGCCAGGCGGGCAGGGCCTCGGCCGGTCACACAGCCAGCATCGCCCCGCCAGGCCCGTTTCCATAGTTCCGCCGCCCTGAGGAATAATTAGAGAAAGTTAAACACACATAATTTAATTGCTTGTCGATGACAGGATGCCAGGGGAGCCATAAAACCCGCCCAGCCTCAGAGCGCCTGCCCGGGCAGGTGGCACGGGAGGCTGGGCTGGCAGCCTGGGGTCCTGCCCCGTGGCTGGGCCTCTCTCTGCGGCTGGGGCGCCGGACCCCTCCCTACCCCTCCCCAGGCCGGCTGACAGCCAAGCCGCTCCCCGTGGGCCAAGCAGGGTGCCCAGTGCCAGTGCAGACTAGGCCCGGGGCCCTGCACCCTTTCCAGAAACAGGTTCCTGTGCGAGCCACAGGTTCGCCCCTCTCTGCTGACCGGCCCCCCTGCAGGGTGTCCTGTGTGTTGCCTCAGACCCTGGAAATGTGTTCACGGGTCCCGAATGCCTCGGGGACGTTCACTGCGTGGAGCTGAGGCCTGACTGACACCTCACTCACCTTCTTCCTTCGGGGGGGGTCCCCAGGGTGGGGTGGCGCCCCCTGTGTGTGCAGGGAACAGATGAAGCTCAAGCCGGAAAGTTCTCCGGGCCAGCCCGCTTCCAGAGTCGACGCCCTTTTTGCCCCATAAGATGCTCTTGGGCCTCTGTTGCGAGGGTAGGCACCTCATTCCCGCTACCCTACCCCCTGCGCATCAGCATTAGCACAGGGTGGGGCCCCCCTGGCAGTCTGGTGGTTGGTTAAGACTTCATCTTCCCATGCAGGGGTTGCTGGTTCGATCCCTGGTGGAGGAGCTAAGATCCCACATGCCTCGTGGCCGAAATGCCAAGACATGAAAAGCGAAGAAATGTAACAGATTCGATGAAGACTTTAAAAAATGGTCCACATCTAAAACAAAAGCAAAAGGATATGAGCACAGGGTCACCAAGGGGCTCACGGGCACCCACCGGGCGTCCAAGGGGCTCACGGGCACCCACCTGGCCTCCAGGTGGAGGAGGGGGTGGCCGGGGGACCGTGTGTCTGGCCTTGTTGACTGGGGGCCTAGGGGCACCTGGCCATTGTACAGGGCACGTGTGTGCTCAGTCGTGTCAGACTCTGTGCGACCCTTTGGACTCTAGCTCACCAGGGTCCTCTGTCCGTGGGTCTTTCCGGCAAGAAGACTATAGTGAGTTGCCACTTCCTCCTCCAGGCATCTTCCCAACCTAGGATCGAACCTGCATCTCCTGCATCTCCTGCATTGCAGGTGGAGTCTTTACCCGCAGAGCCATTCCAGAGAGCCGCCCTCCCCCCACCGCCAAATTGTACAGGGGGCCCCCCCAAATTTCAGTGCCTGTGGGCCTTTCCCCTGGGGTGGATCCCTGAGCCCAGCGAGGACCACCAGCCCTCCCTGTTCTCCAAGCCCTTCTGTGTCTGCCAGCCTGGGACTCGGCCCCTCTCTGCCTTTCCCCTAGTGACTCATCCTTGAGAAGTCCCCTCTGCCCGTCTCTCTGCTCTGTGCCTTGTACCTTTTACTTTCTTTACCATCCCTTTTGCTGGGAGGAGATGGAGGGAAACATGTGTGTTCAACCCCCCGCGTTTAACCAGAAAACCACCTCCGTTCCTGCTGGTCCTTTGTGAAGTCCTGCCCCATCCCTGAGTCAGACAACTGTATACATTCTTTTAGTTGTTTTAAAGTTCCAGTGTTTATACCTCAGTCTTTAATCTCTTTTATGTATCCGGGTTACTGACAAGGTTTTATTGGGGGAAGAAAGAGTTCTGTTTCTAAAAAAAAAAAAAAGGCTTATAAACCATGAACTGGGCACAGCCCAGGGTGGATGGGGAAGGAGATGAGGATGAGGGGGTCCCTGCCAGTCCACAGAAACCCTGGTAGGGCTGGTGAGCAGAAAGTAAGGAGCTGTCAGCCCCCATGGCCCCGAGGCTGGGCACCCCTGGGGAAGACACAGCCTGAACCACCTGTTCCCAAGGTCCTAAGATCCTGGGAGTTTCGTTGCATCTCTCACAGGACAAGCATTATTGTAAAACAGGGATGTTTCCAAGGTGGTTCACTTCAGTGACAAAGATACAGGACTTCTCCCAAGACAGACAGGGCTGATGATGGGGGGCGGGGACCCCGCCAGTGAGCATGGGGGCCTCGCCGCAGCCAAGGGGCCTCTGAACACCAAATGGGACATGCTGAGTTACCCTAATACCTCTTGTGTGTCTGCTTGACCAGAAAGGGGTGCCTGTGGGGTCAGGCTTTGAACTGAGGGAGGAATCTATCTCTTGACTTTCAGAGCAATAAAAGCTCTTAGGAACAGCTTTGAACCATCTATTTCCTCATTAAAGAGCTCTGGGTCTCTGGGGGAGACAGACATAAATAGATGATTACAGCCCAGGGAGATGTGTGCCTGGGAGGTTAACCATTACTGGTCTCCTAGTTGGCCTTCCGGCTCCGGGGCCCTCCCACTGCCTCCCACGGTACACTGTGCTGCCAGAGCGAGCTTTTAAACATGCAGATCTGACCTTGGCTTTCACTGCCTCCAACAGCTGCCCGTCGGTCTCAGGACACTGCCGGGCTCCTCCCCACTGTCCTGCTCCAGCCCTGGTGGTCCCCAGGTGTGCTCTGGCCCGCTAGGCTGCTGGAAGACCCTCCCCGGTTCTGTTCCCCTCTGGTGTCAGCACTAATTCTTCCTCCTGTGGAATCTGACCAATCACTGTGCATCCCTCAGGCCTCACCTTAGATGCCACTGCCTCCAGGAAGCCCTCCTGGACCACCCCCAGCCCAGATGGGCTTTGGCAACCCCAGACAGGCTACCCACTCCAGTATTCTTGGGCTCCCCTGGTGGCTCAGCTGGTTAAGAATCCGCCTGCAATGTGGGAGACCTGGATTTGATCCCTGGTTTGAGAAGATCCGTTGGAGAAGGGAACGGCTACCCACTCCATTATTCAGGCCTGGAGAATTCCATGGACAATATATTCACAGGGTCTCAAACAGTTGGACACAACTGAACAACTTTCACTTTCAAGTTGCTCTTTTACACATTCTGTTCTTACAGCTCTTAGCAGCTTGTGTCTTTTTACCTGTTCCCTTCCTCAGACTGTATCTCTCAAAGGCAGGGAGTGTGTCTCATTTACTACTCATTCATTAACTATCAGATTTTTTTTTTTAATGGTGGAGTTTATTTTAAAAAATATTTTTCAACATGTACACACTGCTCTATTTATTCTTTATTTATCTTTGGCTGCACTGGGTTTTTGTTGCTGCACGGGCTTTTCTTTAGTTGTGGCAAGCAGGGGCCATTCTCTAGTTGTGGTGCACGGGCTTCTTATTGCAGTGGCTTCTCGTTGTGGAACACAGGCTCTAGGCACGCGGGCTTCAGTAGTTGCAGCATGCAGCATCAGTAGTTGCGACTTGCCGCCCCTAGGGCACGGGCTTCAGTAGTTTTGGCACAGGAGCTCATTAGTTACAGCTTGAGGGCCCGAGAGCTTGCAGGCTTCAGTAGTTGTGGCGTACAGGCTTAGTAGCTTGTGGCATGTGGAATCCTCCCAGACCAGGGATCGAACCAGGTCCCCTGCACTGGCAAGGGGATTCCCATCCACCGTGCCACCAGGGAAGTCCTCAGATATTTTTTGAGCCACTACTTTTTGCCAGGTACTGAAATTCACAAACAAAACAGACAAAGACCCTGCGCATATAACACTTGCAGGCTGACAAGGCATCCCAGGTCGTAGTTCAGACGATTCACAATACTCTGCTGTGGATGCCCAGAAAGGAGGCTCGGAGGTCAGGCAGGCTGCCTGGAGGAGGGGGCACTAAAGATAAGGCTCTGAAGGATGCGTAGTTTTCCAGGCAGCAACTCAGAGATTTCCCTGCCTGGCCCGGCTGCTCTCTCCCCAGGATCCACTCCACTCTCACCTCTTCTCTTTCAGAATGTATGAACTGTACCCGGCTCAGCGACATGAGTGAGCGGCTGACCACGCTGGAGGCCAAGGTCAGATGGAATGGGGATCCTGGGCCTAGGGAGTTGAAGAGGGAGGAGCCGACGTCAGCCCCAGGGAGCCCAGCAGGCCTGAGCAGCCTGGTCCCGGGGGCTGGGTGCTATCTGGGGCCTCAGTGGCTCTAGGTAACTTTCTCTAGGCCGGGCCAGCCTCCTGGGGTGGGAGAGGGGAGTGGGATGTGTAAGAAACCCAAGGGTCCCGGGCAGCAGGCTGGTCTGGGTGTGAGCCTCGATGGCTGGGAGACCAGAAGCCCAGATGCTGACCCCTCAGTGGGAAGAGGAGGGAAGTCGCTGTCCCCCCAGAGCTGCTGACCCCCCTCTGGCTCCTCCTTCCTGGTCTTGCACGGGGCTGGGCTCAGGAGCTGATGGAGGAGGAGCCGCCTGGCCCCTGCGGGCTTTCTCCCCGTCTACATCAGGGGGCAGCGGGGTGGAGCAGCCCACCCCAGAGGCAGAAGGGCTCAATAAAGCCCAGGCTTATCTGGGAGTGGCCCCAGGCAGCAGCGTGAGGAGGACAGGGCTCAGAGAAGGGGAGGATGTGAGGGGTGCGGGTGTGTCAGGGAAGCGGCCCCATGGGGACACCTGGGGCTCTGTCCCGCCTGGGCCCCGGGAGACAGTGCAGAGCCCGCCTGGGGGCCAGCCTGGCCCTCGCTGGGACGCGCTTCTGCGTGCTGCCCCTGTCCCCACGTGCCCCTGCAGACAAGCCCCACCGCCTTCACCTGGAAAGCAGGCGCGGGGTGACTGCTNCGCCTGGGGGCCAGCCTGGCCCTCGCTGGGACGCGCTTCTGCGTGCTGCCCCTGTCCCCACGTGCCCCTGCAGACAAGCCCCACCGCCTTCACCTGGAAAGCAGGCGCGGGGTGACTGGTCTGGGGGAGGCAGGCTTGGGGGCTGCAGCTGCTGTGCCTCCAACCTCCAAGGAGCCTCTGGGGGCAGCGGGACTGCCGGGGGCTCCTGGCCCAGGGCAGAGCCAACACGGGGGGCTGGACTGACCTGAGCCGAGGCAGCGCTCTCTCAAGGGCAGACCGCAACAGCTGGACCAAGACGCTGCCTGGGAGGGTGCTGTGAGCATGGCCGGCCGGCAGGGAGGCCGGAGTGAGGACAGGGCGCTGAGGGGGGCTGCAAGACCCCCATGGCAGGAACACGGAGCAGACCCAGAGGTCGGACCCCAGCCCAGGGGGGCCTGACAGGCAGGGCCTCCCTGCAGACACACACACACAGACACACACAGACACAGATATACACATAGACACACACACACAGATACACACAGACACACACACACACACAGATACACACAGACAGATACACACACACACAGATACACACACAGACACACACAGATACACACCCAGACAGATACACACACAGACACACACACAGACACACACAGACAGATACACACACACACAGATACACACACAGACACACACAGATACACACCCAGACAGATACACAGACAGATACACACACAGACACACACACACATAGATACACACACAGACACAGACACATACACACAGATACATACAGAGACACACATAGACAGACATACATAGACAGATAGACACACAGACACACATGACCACACATATAGAGACACACACACATGAACACACAGACACACGTATAGACACACACAGAGACACACACATAGACATACACAGACACACACATAGATACATACACATACACACATAGCCACACATATAGACACACACACATAGACACATATATACACACACACATAGACACATACAGACACATACATGATCATACACATAGACACATAAACACAGAGACACATGTATAGACACACATGAATACACAGAGGCACACACACAGACATACACATAAACACACAGACACACATAGCCATACATATAGCCACACACACATGAACACACAGACACACACATAGACACATACTTAAACACACATGAATACACAGAGGCACACACATAGACATACACATAAACACAGAGACACAGATAGCCACACGCATAGACACACACATAGACACATACATAAACACACACGCACATAAACACACATGAATACACAGAGGCACACACATAGACATATACATGAACACAGAGACACACATAGATACATACATGAACACACAGAGACGCGTGTAGAAACACACATGAATTCACAGAGACACGCATACACACACACACACAGATGCACACAGACGCACCCAGCCCTGGCCAGTGCTGCGTCACCCTTCGGCTGTGCCTCCTGCCTTGAAGCCTGACCATGGAGACATCTGCCCAGTGCAATGGGGGCTGCGGTGACTGGCAGCTGGAGCCGGGCACGTGTGGGACCACCCCCCACCCGCTGGGTGACTCACCGAGCCCCACGTCCTCCTCTGTGGAGTGCGCGGGGGTGCCAGCCTTTCAGGACCGCTCGGGGCCTCAGGTGCCACGTGGGGGGCCCCATGAGGGACAGATGTGAGGCTCTGTGTTCCCATTTGTGCCACCTCGTTGTGGCCTCTTCCTGATGGAGGCACAGGTACATGGGAGGAGCCCCACGGCAGAAGCGTGAATGGGCCCCTTGTCCCCGCAGGCAGGAGGGTCCCCCAGCAGCCCAGGTGCCTGGGCAGAGGCCGGGGGTGGAGACCCCGTGCCCTCCCTGGGTCAGCAGCTCTGCAGGGTGGGGGCGGAAGGCTTCAGGGAGCGGATGCTGCCACATGAGCCAAGCTGGGGCTGGGGCAGCCCTGGCAGGGATGAGAGATGCTGGGGAAGATGCTAGAAGGAACTCGTGGTACCCGAGACTCTAAAAAAGGCAGGCTCCCCAGGCTCGCTGGCCTGACAGACATTTTCCAGACACTTGAAACCTCCGTGTGGTTTGGCAGAGCGCCGGCCCAGCACCTCGGGGTGTTACAAGTCACAGCTCTGAGGCAGGACTGGCACCATGCCCGCTGTCCCCCCGCCCCGGCCCTCACCCATGCCCGCCCGCCATAAGCAAGTCCTCCCCTGGTGCCCCCACCCTGCGCCGCCCTCTGCCTGGGGATGACGCACCCCAGCCCGGCCAGAGCGGAGGGCTGGAGGCGGGCTTACTCTCTGGCCCCGAGGGTGAGGGTCATGACTCCTCCGCAGACCTCAGGGGGTCTCCTCCACAGACTCTGTGGGGATCAGGCTGTTCCAGTGATAACGCAGTGATAACAGGGCCCTTCTCAGCTCTGGGCATCAGCCTGCTGCCCTGTAAGGTGGAAGTGGAAGGGGTCACTTCCCGGCCGCTCCGTGGCTCATACAGAGATGACCTCAGGTGCCCCTTGGGTGGGGAGATAGACGAGGGAGCTTGAGACAGGTGTCCAGAGAGGTGGCAGCCGTGGAAATCCAGCCATTCTGAATTTCCCGATGGCGATGGGAGGCTCCGGTCTCAGCCCCTGTGTCCAGTCTGGGTCCCCTTCCAGCTGCCTGCCTGCCTGCTGGGTGCCCACGTGTCCCCTGGAGAAGCAGGGCCCCTCGGAGCTTCACCCGCCCCATCAGAGGGTCCTGAGGGGCAGCAGCCTAGAGAGGGTGGGGGACACAGGCCAGGCTAGCAGCCAAGACAGCCCTGCAGCCTCGGGGGCGTGTGAGGTCAGGGGAGCCCACAGGGCCAGAGAGAGCACGGAGCGGGGGTCAGGTGGGTGAAGGCAGAAGCGGGCAGGCAGATCCCCGATGGGGAGTCAGAACCTGGGCAGCTAGCAGTAAGTCCAAGGCCTGAAAACTTCGACGTCTGCTTCCTCAAGATGAGAAGCCTGTTTTGACATGTCAAAAGGGATGCATTCAGTGGCCAGCAATGCGAACCCAGCCATTGGCAGCTTATTTCTTAGCATTTATTGTTAGTTCAATAGGAAGTCCAGACTCTGTGGTCTTGGGGTTGGTTTGGTGACTCAAGAAACCAGACTCCCTCCACAGCCTTCCTCTCCACCTTCTTAGTGAATTGGCTTTTGTCCTCATGTCAGTTAGTGCTAAAGCGTTCGTTACTCAGTCGTGTCCAACTCTTTGCGACCCCAAGAACTGCAGCCTGCCAGGCTCCTCTGTCCATGGAATTCTCCAGGCAAGAATACTGGAGTAGGTTGCCATGCCCTTCTCCAAGGGATCTTCTTGACCCAGGGATTGAACCCTGGTCTCCTGCACTGCAGACAGACTCTTTACTGTCTGAGTCACCAGAGTGCCTCATGATTACAAAGTGGCTGCTGCAGCTCAAAGCCTCACATCCTTATACACTGTTCAAAGGCAGGTAGTAGAGGGTGAGGCAAAGTATCTCAAGAAATTCATTATGTCTCATTGGCCAACACTAGGCTATATGCCCACCTCCTAGGTACAAGGGAGCTGGGAAAATGAGTAATTGGCCAGTGATGATTCCTTCTCTGGGGCATACTCACTGGCTCACAGTAAGGGTTCTAGAGCCAAGGAAGCGGAGGTGGTTGGAGACCAGGCAACCGCAAAGGACTGCTCCATCTTCACTCCCTGCAGTGCCCGCGTTGCCTAAGAATCCAAACCTAGGAGCTGATCTAGATTCCTCCCACCCCCTTCCTAGGATAGGCTAGAGCAGCTGTTGGGGGATCGTAGGGTAGAAAGCCAGCAGAAAAAAAGTTTCCTGCCTTCCTTCCTCTCCTCCCCCTCAGTTTACACTCCGACTCCAAGGACCAGACCGAGTGGGAGGGAGCCCAAGGGGATTTCCCTGGGTGAGGACTGGTCTCTGGTGCAGGAGGGCGGTGTCCTGGCCAATCAGCCAGGCCACAAGGACGTCATCAGAGCCCCTGAGATGGAAGGCTGGCTGGCGTCTGGTTTTCTCAGCTGAGTCCCCACACCGCCCACTGTGCCCCGGTGAGCTCAGCCCAGCAGAGACGGGTCAGTTTCTCCAGGAGGTTGGCCACGGCCAGACCACGGGGGCTTGAACTCTGGAGTGGGCTGCTTCTAACTTGACGGTGTCCATAGCTCCTCTGCCTGGGTCCATGGGCTCTGTGGGCCTTGGTGTCTGTGAGGGAGGTGCCCCAGGAAGGAGTGAGCTTGGTCTTTTGTGCAGGGGCGAGGTTGTAAGCAGAGGGTCCCTTCGGGGAGCCTGGGAGCCCTACCACGAAAGGAGCCCAGGAGCCGTCTGGCTGCCCCCACCCTGATCCCGCCAAGCCACACTCCCCCTGCTCCTGGCGCCCCCCTGTTACCTATGTTCACCCGGAGGGGTCCTCCCCACCCCCACCAAGATGCTGTATCTCAACTCATCCCCCCGACTGGGGACCTTCACCCCCAAACCTGTCCTCTCCTGTGCCGCTGTTTGAATGGTGGCGATCCTACCACCCCCCAAGCCAGGCTAGAGACAGGGCCACCCCCTGCCTTCACGTCCTGCCCCCAAGTCCTGGCCACCAGGTCCTCACAGTTCGCACCCCCAGCCTCTCGCTCATGCCCCGGGGTGCCCATCCCCTACACCGACAGCCAAGTCTCCTTGCCCTGTCCCCCGCCCCCCCCACAGCTCCACCCCTTGGCCATGGCCGGTCAGCATCCCAGTGGACGTCCCCTCCGTGGCGGGGGCAGGAATTGTAACCCTCCCTCCGCGAGGAGTTCCACCCCCAAGCCGCTACGCGGTCTGAGCCCGCCACTCCCCTGCTCAGGCCTCCGTGACGCTCCACTGAGGCCAGGGCAGCAGCCCAAGAGTGGAGCGGTGGATGAGGCACCACAAGGGGCCCTGGCCCCGCCGCCGACTGGCTGGGTGACCTTGGGCAAGTCCCTTGCGGCCTCTGAGCCTCTCTTTCCATCTGGCCTCTGGCGTGGCTGCAGTGGCCCTTCCTGTTTCATGAGCCCTTGTAAGGACCAGGAAGGAGAGGGGCTGAGAGACAGGGGCCCTGGGGGTCGCCAGAGCCTCACGGCGCAGGAGCCCACCCACCCAATACAGACGGGGACCTGAGATCTGGGGTGCCCCTTTGTTCCCAAGGGTCTTGGGAAACTTTGTCACCCAGGCCCGGGGACGCTGCAGAGCTGGTGGGAGGAGGCGCTCAGAAGGACCCTTTTTGTGCCCCCAGAAAACCTGAGCCCAGCCCAGGCCTGGGCGCTGTGAAGGCAGCCATTTGTTCCCGTGACTCCCCCCGAACGCCACCCCAGCATCAGCAGGAGTAACCGGGTGCCCACGTGCTATGCGCCCCTGATCTTCTGTGGCCCTGCAGGGTCCGTGTTATCATCCCCATTTTGCTGATGGGAAAACTGAGGCCCACAAAGATCACGATGCTTGCATATCATGGCTATCTAGTGGGAGAGCCGGGATTCGAACCAGCCTGGCTGGTGGCAGGGCAGAGCCTCCTCCCCCATCACATGGTACTTCACGTGGGCAGGGGCCTGGGGACCAGAGGGAGCAGGGCGCCCCTCCCCAGGTGGTCCTGACTCCCAAAGGCGGGCCGTCGGCGTTGCTCCAGAGTGACTGTACAGAGGCTGGGGGGACACCCCTTCTGCCCAGAGGGTCAGACAGACTCAGCGAGGAGGGGACAGCTCTCCGGTGTCTCAGAATCTTCCCGGGGCTGGGGGCGGGGGCAGCGCTTGTGGAGGGCACTGCTGGAGCAGCGGCTCGGAGCGGTGGGGAGGTCTCGGCCTGAGGGGGCTGGGCGAGTTCAGGGCGGCTGGAGCAGAGCCGGGTGGAGGAGATGCAGGGGAGGCTGAGCTGGTCACCTGTGTACGCACCGTGTGGCGTCTCTAGTGGTTTTTTTTGGGGGGGGGACCGGGGAGTTACGCCGGGTTAACCTGCATGAGGTCCTCACCCACGGCCGTTGTGGGGGGCTGCAGGAGGGGACGGGGGCAGGTGGAAGGGAGGGGCAGCAGGCTCCAGGCAGGCCGAAGGGCCCGGGGAGAGGCCCGGGGGCCCATGGGGTCCTCCTGTAATTAAGGTGCGCCAGGACTCTGGTGGTTGGGTGGGCGCAGGGTAGGGTGGGGTGGGGTATAGGCCGGGCGCTGGAGCTTGGACGCCTTCAGGCAGCAGCATCTGCAGAATTAGACGCCAGCGATTCCGCTCCCAGCGGCCTCCAGACAGGCCCACCCTCAGCCCCGCGTCCTCGGAACGCTTTCATCTCTCGGCGCTGAGTCTGAGAATCTAGCCGGATGTGGAGTTTCTAAGAGCCGGGTTGGGGGGCGGGGCGGGGGGGGTTGGGGAACGTGAGACGCTGGACTCCTTCCTCCCTGTCTGGCAGATCGGGACGGGAAGCCGGGCTTCATCTGATATGGGGGGGAACCCCAGTGCCCCCCTCTTCTGGAGTGCGTGGGTCCAGGTGGGTGAGCACCTGCCCGCCTGCGCTGTGCAGATCCCGGTGTGCGGCGCCCCCTGCTGGCGCCTTTGGGAACAGCCGGGCCTCCGGCTCTCTGTGACCCCACGGACTGGAGCCCACCAGGTTCCTGTATCCATGGAATTCTTCAGGAAAGAAGACTGGAGTGGGTTGATATTTCGTTCTCCAGGGAATCTTCCCAATCCAGAGATCGGATGCACCTCTCCTGCACTGGCAGGCAGATTCTTTACCACTGTACCACTGGGAAGCCCCAAGTACAATTTTGATCAGTGAAAGTGTTAGTCACTCAACCGTGTCTGACTATTTGCACCCCGTGGACTGTAGCCTGCCAGGCTCCTCTGTCCATGGGACTCTCCAGGCAAGAATGCTGGAGTCGGTTGCCATGCCCTCTTCCATGGGATCTTCNACTCAACCGTGTCTGACTATTTGCACCCCGTGGACTGTAGCCTGCCAGGCTCCTCTGTCCATGGGACTCTCCAGGCAAGAATGCTGGAGTCGGTTGCCATGCCCTCTTCCATGGGATCTTCCCGACCCAGGGATCGAACCCATGTCTCCTGTGGCTCCTGCATTAGCAGGCGTATTCGTTACCATCTGAGCTACCAGGGAAGCCCAGGAATACTGAAGTGGGTAGCCTATCCCTTCTCCAGGGGATCCTCCCGACCCAGGAATCAAACCAGGGTCTCCTGCACTGCAGGCGGATTCTTTACCAGCTGAGCCACCAGGGAAGCCCTCCTGGCTCCCAGGTGCCGTGAATTAGGAAGAGTCTCCCTACTGAGGCCCTATGTCCTTTTGGGTTTTAACCCCGGCTTTCCTCCAGGGGAGAGGATGGGCTGCTTTCCAGGCAGGCACTGAGTGACCATGGCCCCCTTTGTTTCCCTGGATCTCCTGCTAAACTCACGCACTGAATTGGGCCCGCTTATTCTTTCTTTCTTTCTCCTTTTTTTCCCTTTTCTTCTCTTCTCTTCTTTCCTTCCCTTCCCTTCCCTTTTCTTTTTTCCCTCTGCCCATCTCTCCCTCCTCGCACCCATCCATCCTGCCACAAATATTCCCTGACCACACTGTGCCCTGAGCCAGACAGTGTGGGGGACAAGCCTGCCTGGTCCCTCTCAGGGAAGAACCAGTGAAGTCGGGGTGACCGTGGTCATTATTCATACAAGCACAGTCTAATCCCAGTGACGGCCACTCTAGGAGAAAAGTATGGTGACTCTGAACATGTCTGCAGGGGCCCTGCCTGAGCCCGAGGGTCGGAGGGCTTTCTGAGATGGGAAGGGCTGGGGGTGGGGTGGGAGAACATTCCAGCGAGGGGACGGTGGTCGCATGAGCAGCGGGCAGCTGCTGGTCCCCTGGGGCTCACATCCCCGTTCACCCGTGCCCCAGGGCTGACCCTCTGCCCTTCTGCGGTCCAGGTTCTCCTTCTGGAAGCAGCAGAGCGGCCCTCAGGTCCAGACAATGACTTGCCAACGCCCCAGAACACCCCACCGCCCTGGAACGAGGGTCTCCTCCCTGACGCCATCCCGCTTGCCCACCCCGGGCCCCAGAGGAGAAGGCCCACAGGCCCGGCCGGTGAGTGAGACCTGGGGGTGGGGGGGCGCGGCAGGGAGGCCTCGCAGGGCCTCCACCAGTAGGTCATACACACCCAAAGGGCATTTTGGAAAACTAAGCTAACATTTAAAACCTGGGGGATTTCACATAAAAGTCAGGATTTCTCATTTCTCTTAGAAAAATGAAAGAGCTGGCCATTGGGGTTGGCAGTCCCTTATAGAAACAATTGGCTGGGACTTCCCTGGTGTTTCGAGTGTAAGGGGTGTAGGTTCAGTCCCTAAGATCCCACGTGCTGTGTGATGTGGCCAAAAAAATATTGGAAAAAAAAAAGAAACAGTTGGCTGCAGCTAAGTCATGGCTGCCCCCACAGATCTCATTCAAGCTCTGCAGTTTGCCACAGTCCTCACCATTCCCTACTGTCTCACAGTCCAGCTGCTGTCTTCACTGGCTGTCTAAACTGGCTTCACCGTTTAGCATCTACACATAGGCCCCCAGCCCAGCTCCATCCTTGACTGGCTCGATTTTACAGCAGCCCCTGCCTGCACACCCCCAGGGGTGGGGAGCTTACTGCCTCCCCGCAGCCTTCCTGGGAATCCTCTCTGAATTCTCCGACCAGAGCTGGAGGACACCCACTGGTCTGTTGCTTTCACTCTTCCCACCACGTTTTGAAGTCGGGGTAAATTTCTCTCTGCAGTCTCTCTCCATTGGACTGCGCTCTCTGGGACTGCAGAACAGTAATAGTAACTGTAATACTATAGTTAGGATTGTTGAATGCCCGCCGCGTGCCTGGCACTGTGCTGGGACTTTACCCTGAGCGGAGGTGTAGCTGCCATCATCCATGTGGCTGAACTCCAAGATTCAAGGCTGAGGTCTCGTCTGACTGGTGAAGATCTGTGCTGTGCCAGTTATTCAGTATTTTTATATCATTCTAGTCTCTACAGATATCATGGCTAATCATTCCAGTGAGCTCGTAAAGCTCAAGTTACGGGAGAGAGAACCGAGGCTCAAAGAAGTGACCCCTGGGGTCACCCAGCGATCCAGTGCTGTTTTGACTCAATAATTCACAGCCTCACCGGAGCCCTTTGCAGGGGACACCCTTCCTCCTGCTGTCCCCCAATTTAGCCCCCAGCTTCTTAGCAATCCCGCCCAGACCCAACTCTGACCCCTCCCTGCCTGCAGACCCCCAGCAGTGGGAGAGTTGACCACCAGTGGCCAGTCCCCAGGCCGGGGAAGCAGCAGATACTCTGCAGGCTTCTGAGGGGCCTGGAGGCCGGGGGATGGTGAGCTTGGGCTGCTGTGGGAGGAGGGGGTGTCTCACTTGCCCTGGGGTCCCCAGCCCACCTCTCTAGCCATTCTCCCCAAAGTCTCACTCCCAGAAGACCTGTCTTCTTCAAATCCTTCTTCTGGGACTGAAGAGGGAGCAGAGTTCAGGGGGAAGTGGACGGGGGGCGGTTCTCCTCTTCTGAAGGACCCAGGCCCCAGTGCGCCCTGGAGGGGAGGGAGGAAGCTGGGAGGGGCTTCTGTTCTCCCAAGGCAACTTTCTTATGCGGGCGTGTCATTCCCAATATGGCCACCAGGTGGAGCACAAACCCCACAAGTGGTTACACCTGGGTGCATCCTGGAATCCCAGAGGCCAAGTGGGAATCCCTGGAAACTGGCAGCCCCAGCGGGGTCCCCAAAGAGCCCTCTATCTGTTCAGCAATCATTTTTGAGCATCCTCCCCAGGTCCAGGCCTTTCTGAGGGATAAGGGGCTGTCTGCAGGCCACACAGTGGGCCTCCTGCCTCTCCATCTACTCTTGCCCCGCCTTGGGACCTGGAGATCCCCAGAGGGCAGGCAAGTCCTTCAGGGCTTCCTGGGGTCTCTAAGGAGGCCTTATTGGGACAACCTTTGCCTGAATCCCAGTCCCCAAGCCTGAGCAAAGAAACAGCAGGACGTGGAAAGAGGGTTCTGACTCATTTACAGCCTGGCACTGCTACCTTGAGCAAGGGGCCACACCTTTCTGAGCCTCAGTTTACCCCACCTGTCAAATGGGAACACAAGTAGCTCTTGAGATCATAGAAGTGAACAGGAACAAAACTGGTTTGTATACTGTGATGAATGATGTGGTCCCTTTGCCCATGGCAGGTGAGGGGGCAGTTCTGACCAGACAGCAAGGTCGTTTAGCCTGGAGCCAATGGAGGCAGCTCAGCCCACAATGTTCTCAGGGCTCATTTCATTCTATCCCCAGGGCCCCCTGGACAGACGGGACCACCAGGGCCTGCAGGTCCCCCAGGCTCCAAAGGTGACCGTGGTCAGGCAGGAGAAAAGGGCCCAGCGGGGCCTCCTGGTAAGGACACCCGCCCACACACATACCCCGACGTGACTTCATCCACTGGGGGAAGGGGGTTGGGGTTTCTCCCCGTCCGAGCAGGTGAGGCATCCCAGACACCCTCTTTCTTGGTGGGGCTGATGACTGCCATCTAGCAGGGCTCCAGGTTCCCTCCCTCCCACCACCACCTCCCGGGGCAGCCTCCTTCCAAGCACTTTGGGGCCTGGTCTCACCCGGGACTATGGGAAGAGAAGGCTCCAGCTGTGGGGGTGGGGCTGCTGGGGGCTGGAGGTTGTGCTCCGCCATGTAAACAACGTCGAGAGGTCACGCAGCTGCTCCTGGACCCTGTCGGGGCAGGTACGGGGCTGGGCCAGGCTGGCAGCCACCCTCGCTGCCTCTACCCCAGGGCTGAGGTCATCTGGCCACAGCGCCCGCTGACTTTACTGACCAGACCTCCCTGACCTCCCGCCTGGCTGCCCGGGGTCCCCTCTGCACTGGCTGGAGAAGGGAAGTCATTTCACTATATCCCAGGACAGCCCTCCAGGGAGTCTCTGGGACTAGAGGCCACCACCTTGCCTTCCCAGGTCTATTCCTCATCTCTGTTATGTCAGTCATGAGGCCCGGCCCTCCTGTGACTCCTCTTTTCCCCTGCAGGCCTCTTGGGGCCGCCAGGGCCCCGTGGGCTTCCTGGAGAGATGGGGCGCCCTGGCCCCCCCGGCCCCCCTGGCCCAGCAGGCAGCCCAGGCCTCCCTCCAAATGGCCCTCAAGGCGTCCTCTACTCCCTGCAGCCACCGACGGACAAGGACAGTGAGTGTCACGCTTGAGGGCTGGGGTGGGAGGTCGACCCAGAATCTGGAGGGTCCACTCCCCCAAAAGGACCCCGTGAAGCAGACTGTCCGTGAGTGGGGCCTCGGCTTTGCCAGGCGGGGGGTCGGGGTAGTCTAGGTGGGGGGTGGTCCCCCAAACCCCACTGTTGGCCCCAGGGGCCTGTCCCTGCCTCTGTGCTCAGCTCCTGCCCCTGGGGTCTGACCCCTTGCTGTCCCTCTGCTCTCTGGCCTGGCCTTGGGGTCCCCCCTGGTGACAGTACCACCACCAAGATCATCCGTCACCCCTGTGCTCTTCACAAATCCCCTACTGTAGGCCACTGGACAGGCGCTGATGGATGGAGCACCTCCCACGTGTGGGACTGTGTTTTAACCTCCGGGATGCAGCAGTGAACAAACCAAGTCTCCTGCCTGCAGGAGCCACAGTCTAGCACAAGAGGGCGCCCTTGAGCACACACAGAACCGCCGCCGGGAGCATGGGGGGAGGGCGGGTCCAGGGAGGGCACCCCAGAGATGGGGCGGGGGTGGGGCCTGCGGCCCATGGATGGCGTGGCTTTGGCTAAGGGCCCTGGGAAACGGGAAAGGTTTTAAGAAGCGGGTGATGAGATTGACTTGGCATTCTGAGTGGGTGACATCCCGGGCACCGTGGGGGCACAGGGACCTCTTGGTCAGCCGTCAGAGAAACCCAAGCCCCTTCCCGGCCCGCGCCCCGCGCCCCCCTCCGCCCTGTCCGCCCCGTTCCCCGGGCAGCGCCGCCCTGCCCCGAGCGTTAGACCTGCGCCTGAATCACAGGGTCCCGCTCCCAGCCTCCGTTTCCCCATCCCTAGAGCAAGAGTGGTAATACATCCTGACGGAGTTGCTCTGGGGTACACAGCCCCCAGCCACGAGGGAAGAACTCATTCTCAAGGGAATCGGGGTGCCTGGGCTGCCCTCCCCGTGTGCGGGGGCCAGAGAAAAGAAGTCACTGGCGACCGTCTCACTGTCGTGGTGGGCTCAGTGGTGCCCCCTGGTGGAGGAGAAAGGGTGACTCTTGTTTAGTACCTTGGGGGTCTAAGGGTTCCACCGCCCGGCATCGCTCGGCCACGAGAGCTCAGCCGGCCCCAGCCTGGGCGTGATGCCCGGCGTCTGCCGCTGCCCGCCTCCAGTGCTCGGAGCCCCCCTCAGACAGGACCCTCCTTCCCCAGCCCTGGGGTCCCCAAGAGAGGGCAGACTGCCTAGAGGGCGCAGATGTGAACGTTTAGGAAGGGGGGGGGGGGTCCTGGTGGAGGCACCTGGTTAGCCATTACTGAGCAGCTATAGGAGGCCCACCAGCCGCGAGGCCTATGGAAGGGCTGCCCAGGCTTCCGTGGTGGGGGTAAGGGGGGAAAGGCAGAGGCGAACACCCCCAGCCCAGATGTTTCCAAGCCTGGCTGTCTGCTTCTGGGTCTGAGGACAGCGCGGGGTGAGGTGACACGGGGCTCACTCTGGAGGGACCCAGGCCACGAGCCAGACCCCATCCGGCCCCGGGACCCTGTGGCTCAGATGAGTGGTCAGGGAGGGCTTCCTAGAGGAGGCCCCACAAGAGTGAGCTAGTCAGGAGTGTCGGGATGGGCATGTGGAGGGGAGCCTGGAACAGAGTCCGGCCAGGGCAGCCGGGAGGTGAGCAAGGCGAAGCCAGAGCCTAAGGGCCTGGAATTTTCAGGAAGATGTTTGTACTTCAAACAGAGCCCACAGGCTTCCCCGTCCTCTGATTTGGCCTCTGTGTTGATGGCTCGTCAGTAAAGAATCTGCCTGCAATGCAGGAGTCCCGTTTTCGATCCCTGGATGGGGAAGATCGCCCGGAGAAGGAAATGGCAACCCACTCCAATACTCTTGCCTGGAGAATCCCATGGACAGAGGAGCCTGGCAGGCCCCAGTCTACGGGGTCACAGAGAGTCGGACACAACTGAGCGACTACACGTGAGGGAGCTCCTCTGAGCCAAGGGGGCAGTAGCTGCAGTGAGGCCCAGCAGGGTTGGGGCCGCTCTTCCTGGCTCTGGGGGACTCAGCTCTAGCCCCGCCGGCCCTGCCCCGTGGGTCACAGGCCACTCTGCCCTTCCCGCAGATGGAGACGTGCAGCTGGCCTCCGCGGCTGTGGACACGGTGTTGGCGGGCGTCCCGGGGCCCCGGGGTCCCCCTGGCCCCCCAGGTGAGTGCAGAGGGCAGCAGCTGGTCTCCACTGGTACCCACTCCTGGGCTTCACCTGGGCCGGGGGTCCTGAGGGGGCCGGTTGGGGGCTCATGGCCTTGGCAGGGCACTGGGTCTGCCCCAGCCAGCAGCGACTTGGGGGGCGGGGGGCTCATGGGTGGCAGCTCCCTTGCGACTGCACACAGTGTTTCTGGGTGGCCTGACACCCACATGAAGTGGCCCCGGGCCGCTCCTGAGTGAGCCAGAGCAGGGGTGCTCCGGAGGCCTAGGTCCAGGAGGTCTGCGTAGGGGATGGTGGGTGGGGGGACCGAGGGAGCTGGTGGGGCAGGTGCCTGGGCGAGACAGGGGGCCCTGGGCCTTCAGGCAGAAAGCGGGGTCCTGGGAGAGGGGATGGGACCCTCACTGAGGGAGGGGGTGGCGTGGGGGGGCGGGAGCCCAGGTGTGTGGCCGTCTCCTCTGACAGGTTCTACCCCTCAATGAAAGCAGCAGAGGCGCTGGGCGCCCGTGGGCTGGGGGCGCCTCTTGATTCGGCTCCAGGCCGGGCACTCATTCCCCGCCAGTAGTTCAGTGTCTCACGCAGTCAGGAAACCCCCACTGAGCACCTCCTACAGGCTGGCCAGGGTCCTGGGTTCCTGGGATCCTTAGATAAACAAAAGATTTCTGTCCTCATGGTACTTACATTCTAGTGGAGAAGGCGGGCGGTGCCCTCCTGCTGTCAGTAAATCCTCCCAGAAAGCAGGGCTGGGCTCGCGGCTGGGCCAGGGTGGCCCCATTTAAAAGGTAGCATTGAGGAGGGTGCTGGGAGGGTGTTTGCCTTTTAGCTAGACTGTGTCCAGACCATTACCCCCCACAGGGGTGCACTTTGCTGTAGGTCCTCCCTAGGCATGCCAGGGGGCACTCTGGTACAGACTAGCAGCTCAGGGGGCACAGAGACCTCACTCCTCCAAATATTCAAGGCATTTAGTCACGAACACCATGCCCTGCACTGCACCCATTGGGCCTGCTTGATCCTCTGGGGGCTCCCTGGCCCAGAGGGGAGGCTGGCATTCAAACCAGTAGTGGCCCAAGGCAGTGGCTGGTCACTGTCAGGGATTTGCCTAGGGAAGAGGCGGGGGTAGGTGCCTGGAAGGCTTCCTGGAGGAGGTGACGCTCAGCCTGAGGCTAGTGGGAGTTTGCTGGGATGTGGAGGGGATGGGGACACTCCAGGATGAAGGAACAGCCACCACAAAGGCATGGACCCAGAGGGACTTTCCAGGAGGGTGTTTGACCAATGAAGGTGGAGGAGGCTGGGCTGAGAGGGACCTGTCTGAAAAGTAACTTGAGGGGGGGGAATGCTGCGGGGATGGGTGACCAGCACTCCGGGTGGTAGGCAGCAGTTGAAGTAACCCAGGCAAGGAGGATGGTCTCAGGGAGGTGAGGTCTGAGGTCCCGAGGTGGGGCAGGCTCGAGGGAGATTTGCCCGAGGACTGACCAGCTGGGGAGAGTCTGCGGGTGCCCCTCGGCCCCGTGGATGAGGCTATGGGAGCAGCAGCAGGCTGTGGTGTGGAGGTTGTAGGCAGCGAGAAGGGCTTCCAGTGGACTCTCCGCTCTGGGGGTGGGCAGGGGGCTGGGGAGCCCATGCCCCCTCCCTCACCATTTATTCACCTCCCCTTTCTGCGCTGCCCAAGGAGACAGACCCAGGGTGGGTAGGAGGGCCCCTCTCCGGAGCCGATGAGGGGGCAGGGGGCGTCTCTGGCTCCAGGTGACCATCTGTGACTCTGCCGGCAGGTCCCCCTGGACCACATGGCCCCCCTGGCCCTCCGGGTGCGCCTGGATCCCAGGTAAGGTCTTGCCTATCTCTGGGGAGGGTGAGGGCACTGTCTCCCCAGGAAGGGAGGAGCCGGGCTTCTTAGCAGCACAGTTGCTCAGGAAGGAACCAGCCCACCTGGCTGGTCCCCACCTGGGTCCAGGTGGGCCCCAGGGGAAGTCAGGCGTGGGATCCTGGTTTTCTTAGAAACAGCCCTTTGCTGCCCACCCCACCTGGGCCCCATGGCACCCACTCCAGTGCTCTTGCCTGGAGAATCCCAGGGACGGTGGAGCCTGGTAGGCTGCAGTCCATTGGGTTGCGAAGAGTTGGACACGACTTCACTTTCACTTTTCACTTTCATGCACTGGAGAAGGAAATGGCAACCCACTCCAGTGTTCTTGCCTAGAGAACCCCAGGGACGGCGGAGCCTGGTGGGCTCCCGTCTATGGGGGTCACACAGAGTCGGACACGACTGAAGCGACTTAGCAGCAGCAGCAGCTACCTGGGCCCAGAGAAGTTAGCATCGTTCCCATTTCATAGATGAGGTAACCCGAGGTCATGCAGGCAGTGTGTGGAGCTGGGCCAGGATCACAGCCATGGCCCCTCTTTGATGAGAATTGCCTGCGTGGGGGGGCAATTGCTTGGCCTCCTCAGCTGTGTGACGTTGGGCAGAAAGACAGCCTCTCTGGGCTCCGGCTCCTTGGCTGCTAAGACGGAGTGGGTTGTTACAGGGAGTAAGAGAGAAATAAAGTGTCAGGGGGAAGTGACTTGTGCTGCAGGGCCCCAGGGGCCTGGGGGGGATGTCACACGGAGGAGAGGGGACTTTGGACACCAAGGCAGGCAGGGCTTTGTTTGGGGGTGTCTGCACAGAGCTTCCTGCAGCTCATCCAGGCTGAGGGCTTCAGGTTCCCTGGAACTCGGGCCTGGGCAGGAGAGGGGGCGGGGCTGACTGAGAAGCGGGGCTCCCACTGCGAGGCTGGACAGCTCACCCCTGACAAAAGGGCAGGAGCAGGTGTGAGGCTGACAGAAGCTCTCGTGAGAAGGGCTGGGGGCAGTAGGACCCCCCTCTAGAGACCCAAGCCCACAGCAACAGGCAAGGTCAGAGATGATGGTGTCCCTGACCCTTCCCCTCACCTGCTCGTGCCAACTCCTTTCAGGGTCCCCATTGTGTTATCCCCGCAGTGACGGGGACGCAGAGGCTCAGAGAGGTTCTGTCATTTGCCAGAGTCACCCAGCAGGGGAGCAGAGCGGGGGTCCCGGCAGGGCCAAGGTCACTCCAGGCCCCGCTCCAACTTTCTCGGGGTCCCTGCCCTCTGCTAGCAGGTAGTCCGATGGGGGAGGCTGATGTGATAGAGAGTAACTGGGGCGGGACCTACAGCAACAGGAGCGGGGTGACAGATAGGAGAAGGTGACGCTTCGACTGAGACCCGAGGACCCAGAAAGGAGCAGTCATGCAAAGATGCCAAAAGCGTTTCGGGTAAAGGGAAGCGTAAATGCAAAGGTCCTGAGGCCGGGAAACACCAGGCAGGTCCTGAGCTAAGAAGCGTGGGGAGGTGAGGTGGGAGGGAAGTGGGCAGGGCGGTACCTGCAGAGCCGATGCGCGGACCTGGGTCACAGTGAAAGGGGGCCTTATCGAGTGTCAGGGAGGGAGAGTCCAGCACCCGATTTTCGTCTTTCCAGGGCCCCTCTGGCTGTGGCTTGAGGAGTGGAAGGCGGGGGCGGGGGAGTGGAGCAGGGAGATCAGGGAGGAGGCTGGGGCAGCACAGAGGAAACAGATGCATCTAGAAAGTGGACCTGACAGGTCTGGCTGATGGAATAAATTCGGTGAGGGCGGGAAGGGGAAGGTTAACTGTGAGGTGCGTACAGGAGCGGCTGTGGACCGCAGAGCCATTTCATGGAAAAGAGAGACCGCAGGGTGGGGGCCGGGCGGCTGGGCCGGGGGGAGGCCAGGAATTCCACTTTGGAGAGGTTGAGCAGGGGCGCCTCCTGGCCGGCCAGGTTGGGGTGCTGGGGGGCAGCTTGATGCACAGGTCTGGGGCTCCAGGGAGCCTTCTGACGGGGCCTCAATGCTGATGGGGAGCCCACGCGGGGACCCTCACCTTCACCACTAGTAGGAGTCGCGTTAGTGGCTCAGTCGTGTCTGATTCCTTGTGACCCTTCATGGGTGACCTTGTGGCTCTTCATGGCTCCTCCAGGCTCCTCTGTCCATGGGATTTCCCAACAAGAGTACTGGAGGGGGTTGCCATTCCCTTCTCCAGGGGATCTTCCCGACCCCGGGATTGAACCCGGGTCTCCTGCATTGGCAGGTGGATTCTTTACTGTCTGAGCCTCCAGGGAAGCCTGAGATCATCACTGCTGTCACTCATTCTAGGAGGGCCCTTTCCGAGTGCTGGGGGGATGTGTGTGCGGCCATCTGGTCCCCTTCTCCAAGTGTCTCCCCGGTGGCTCAGACTGTGAAGAATCTGCCTGCCAATGCAGGAGACACAAGAGACTCGAGTTTGATCTCTGGAGAAGGCGATGGCAACCCCCTCTAGTGTTCTTGTCTGGAGAATCCCGGGGACAGGGGAGCCTGGGAGGCTATAGTCCATGAGGTCGCAGAGAGTCGGACATGACCGAGCATGCACGCACGCATGTGCCTTCTCCAAGTGATGACCATACTTGGCATTGGCCCATTTCACAGACAAGAAGATGGAGGACTCAGTGGAAGCCCACGGTCATCCACTGGCCAGTGGTGGGGGCTCCAGAAGCAGACAGGAGCCCCGCTGCGGCACCCCCCGATTTTGGATTTTTCGGATTTCCAGAGCCCAGTGCAGGGGGAGGGCGTGCAGAGGACTAAGGGGTTGTGAAGGGCAAAGCCTAACTTCCTTTGTCTGATCTTCTGCAGGGCCTGGCTGGAGAGCGGGGTGCCACGGGGCCATCTGTAAGTGTGGGGCTGTGTGTGGGGGCCACCCCCAGGGCGATGGGCTCGGGTGCAGGCGCCGGGTACCAACTGGGTGGGTGTCTGCCACAGGCAGCCTGACTGAGCTCAGGCCCCCAGCCTCCCCGGGCATGGCCAGATCCAGCCCAGCCAGGACGGAGCAGAGGGAGAGAACTGGGCAACCTGGGTGCAGTGCCAGCTGCCCAAGTTGGGAAGGGGTGACTTTGGGAAGTGGGACACTCCCCCTGTCCCCAGGCATATGAAGTAAGGACTGAAATAGCTGCCCGTCAAGGGGCTTGGATGAGAGTCCTAAGGTCTTTTGCCAGGGGCCCAGGCCCCTGGGTTAATATGCTGCGTGACCTGCAGAGTCCCTTGCTTTCTCTGAACTTCCCAGGAATAGACATAGACGGCTGACCACTCATTTCCCATCTTAAAAATAAGAATTCACAAGACTCAGCCCCATCTTCAGGGCCAAGGAAGTGGGCACGTGCCCAAGTCTTATGTCAGAGGCACAGGACTGGGGGAGAAGGGGGAGCATCTTCTATGTGGAGGCCTTCTTTATCCTTAGTGGGTTTAAGCTTCACAGTGCCCTGGCGAGATGGTGCTTTGTTTTCTCTCTTTGCCAGAACTGGCAGCTGAGGCCCAGAGAGGTTAAGCAACTTGCCCAAGGTCACACAGCTAGACCAAAGTAGAGCCAAGATTTAAACTGAGGAGTGTTAGCCTCCAAAGGCAGGCCTTCCCCAAGCTTGTTATCAAGAGTGATATATTTAATCCTCCTAATAGCTCTGTGAGGTAGGCACTGTTATTATCCCCATTTTGGAGACGGAAAAACCGAGGCACAGAGAGGTAAAGTCACATAGAGTAAGTGGCCTCCTAGGTGTTATTGTGAGGCTGACATTACTGGCCCCGCTTTACTTATTTAAATTTTAATTTTTTTACATTTCATTTATTTTGGCTGCTCTGGGTCTCTGTTGCCGTGCATAGGTTCTCTAATTGCAGTGCAGCATGTGAGATCCTAGTTCCTTGACCAGGAACTGAGCCCACGTCCCCCCGCCCTGGAAGGTGGCTTCTCAACCACTGGACCAACCGGGGAAGTCCCTGGCCCCAATTTTAGAATCAGAGAAACAGAGGGGAAAGGCAGGGGGCCTGATCCCTGGAAGGGCCGGAACCTGAGTTCCAACCTGACTCCTCCCTTCCTAGAAACAGAATTAAGCCCCTAAAGTCAAGCCCATGCTGGCCTGTGCAGGGGTCCTGGGTAGAGAAGCTGGGCACCCATCATTGACCCCATGACTTTCTTCCCAGGGGGAGCCTGGCGGGAAGGGGGAAGAGGAGGAGAAAGCCGCCGCTGAGGTAACGGTGCCCCTGGGCCTGTGCTTCCCTCCTGCCCCCAGCTGTGTCCTTGCAGGACAGTTCAGTAGAGCTGGACCGACCCCTTCATCCTGAGCAGGGCGTCAGCCTCAGCGCGAGTGGGGGCCCACCCGGCGGGGGAGGCAGTGCAGTGGGTAGTGACTGTGGCCCGGTGTGAAGTCAGCTGCAGTGGGGGAGCGCAGATGGGATGACTGGCCCGGGGCCTGAGGGTGGGGGCAACCCCGCCGGAGAGGGCGGAGGGGCCACGGACCAGCCGACGAGACCCTCTGTTTGAAGGAGGCCTCGGGCTGTGGGGTCTCTCTCCAGGGCTAAGACCCTCCCATGACAGCGCCTGGCACACGGACGTGCCCAAGGTCACGGTGCTGCTGGACTGAAGGGTGTACGGGCAGGCGGACAGCTGGCTGGTGGATGTGGGAGAGGACAGATGGAAAAAGGATGTTGGGGGCACACAGCGGCCAGAGCAAGTCGGGGCAGGGCAGGGGCACGGATGGAGCGCGAGCATGGCTGTAGGGACCATACCTTCTGGGAAGCGGAGGGGAGGCTGGGGGCCAGGGTGATGCGTGAAGGGAATGAGGGCGGTGGGGCAAGCTGGAATGAGTCACCTGGTGTGACAGGGCTCGGCCAGATGTCCAGCACAGCGGGCACGCTGCACCCCTGAGTGAGCTTGGGGAGATGCTAAGCCAGGGCTGGGGTGCCTGGAGAGATGGGTGGTGGGCACTGGAGGTGGGCAGCTATGTGAGGCGGGCTGGGCTGGAGGGGGTAAAGCTGGGATCGGGACCTTCCAGAGGTCCTTATAGGATTGAAGGGATCCTTACAGGATTGAGGCTGGAACCATGGCAGCCATGGTGGGCACAAGAGACAGTGGGAGGACGATGTGGATGCTGGGGTCACTTGCGATGGATAACTGGGAGGGTACCCACGACTTCCCCTTGCCCAGGTTCATCAGCGTGCCTCCTGTGGCCCAGGGACCGGGGCTTAACTGGGTCCTGACAGAGGGGGCCGGGAGCCCCTGCTCCTCACTGCGGACACCCCCATCCCACACTACCCACAGCCCGGCTTCTCATGGTCTTTGACGGGAAGAGCTCTCTTGTGTAACTCAGTAGCATGCTCTCCGGTTTTCTTTTGCTTTAAGCGCAATTAATCTAAGTGTCATGACAGAGCTGTCATGTTCCACCAGCCAAAAAGGTTCCTGTTTGCTGCTGCCGCCGGGGCGGGGCCTTGCCTCTCTACCATCACTTTTTCTTTCTTCAAAGTGACCTTGTCATCTTGTCTTCATTAATCAGCCTATTCACGTGTCCTGACACCCGAGGTCCTTCGCCGTGCGTAGGGCGGGTCCCAGGAACACAGAGGCGCCATCTTTGTGCCCTCCACGGGCCTTCCCTCGGCTGTGCCCTCGGATGGGTGGGACCGGGACGGAGACCAGCAAAGCGCCTCCCACCCATGGGCCCGTATGAGGTGCTCTGCCCACAGCAGGACATTTTCTAGAAAGAAGGGTGCACAGGGAGGCAGCTGGCGGCCATGGGAGCAGCAAGCTCAGGCCGGAGGCAGACAGGGTTGTGTGAAGCCCCGGGCTTGGCCATTTCCGGCTTGGCCACTTCCGGCTTGGCCACTTCCGGGCTGTGGGGCTGGCTCATCTGGGCTTCAAGTACCGTGTCTGTGAACTGGAGTTCGAACCCCAGCCCTGGTGCCGGGGTGTCTCGTCTGTGGTGGCCGTTGCGTTGACAATGGTGACAAGAGGGAAGTGGCGGGCTGGGACAGGACGCTGGAGCAGGGTGGCCCTGACCCCACGGCTTCCTCCACCCCAGGGTGAGGGGGTGCAGCAGCTGCGGGAGGCCCTGAAGATTTTGGCCGAGAGAGTGCTCATCCTGGAACACATGATTGGCATCCACGGTGAGCGGTGACCCGGGCCGCAGAGTCCAGCATCTCCCTCCGCCCTGCCTCCCCAGCTGCCCTCGCCCGTGCTGCCTCTGGTCCCCTCTCTCCCTGCCCTGATGGCCCCGCACCTGGCGGCCAGTCTGCCCCTGTCCCACCCCTGTTCAAGAACCCTCCGTGGCTCCCTGCTGCCCGAGACCGAGGCACAGCTCCCAAGTCCCTCCCCTAGCACAGCCTGGTGTCGGTGACTCAGAGCCGTCATCCAGGTGCCCCGGGACCCTCCCACCACCACACCTCTGCTCAGACTGGCCGCTCTGCCTCCGGAACACCAGCTCTGGCCTCAGGGCCTGCTCTAGGATCTCTTCCTCTGGGAAGCCGCCCTCCTGTCTCCTCCCTGTGCTCCACCGAGCCTTCGAGTCCCTTACAGGGTGGGGTGTCTATATCTCTCCCTGGGACCTCTGCAGTGCCTGGAACCTGGCCCTGGTCAGCATTGTTTGAAGAATGAATGAATGAGTGAATGGTGAATAAGTAGATGAGTGAATGGGAGACTGAATGAATGAGTGAATGAATGGATGAGTGGATGAGTGAATGAATGGATGAATGAATGAGTGAATGAATGGATGAATAAATGAGTGAGGGAATGAATGCATGAGGACTAGACGCTGGCAGCTGCTTTGTCCCACCCTCACTGGGCACAGAGGTTCCTTGGCTGGCGGGACTGGAAGTGAAGGGGCTTCGCGGGCTCCTGAGGCCCTGCGTGAGCCCACCCTCCTGCTTCCCTTCCAGATCCCCAGGCCACCCCTGAGGGGGGCTCTGGCCAGGACGCCGCCCTGAGAGCCAACCTCAAGATGAAGCGTGGAGGCCCCCCACCCGACGGCTCCCTGGCTGCCCTGCTCGGGCCCGACCCCGGGCAGAGGAGAGCTGGCCGGGCCAGCAGCGGGAAGTAGGAGGCCAGCTCTCCCGGAGGAGCCCCGGCTCCGCCAGAGACTCCGCCCCGAGGCCTGTGCTGCCGTCAGCACTGAGGACACCCCGAGTGGGACTGGGCTCCAGGCCTGCACGACCGTCAGGGACACTGGCTCCCGGGGGCCTTGGGAACAGATGGCAATGCCAGGGGCGGGGGCCAGAGGGGCCCAGCACCCCCAGCCGAGCCCTGCCCTGGTCCCGGCCCTCCCCACCCCCACTCCCTGCTGGAGACGGGGTCTGGTGGCTGGGTGGGATGCGGGAATCGTCATAATACTCGCCATTTACTGGGTCCCTGAGTCGTCTGGGCCCATCCGAGGAACTTCCCTACATTGTCTCATTTAACCCTTAGGACGTAGGCTTGTTCCCCCCACTTTACTTGGGGGCAGAGGCTGGGAGAGGATAAATCACCTGCCCGAGGCCCCTGGACCGTGGAGGACCGGGGCAGGATTTGAACCCGTGTTCTCTCTACCTGCTAGCTCCCCCTCTTCACGGGACATTCAAACAGGGCAGGCGCTGGGCCAGGCGGCCCCGGAGGCTCCAGCCGGGAAGGAGGGCAGGCCCTGCCCAGCTCGAGACCCTGGGGGCCCTCCGGCCTCCTTCCTTGACATCCCTCCCTGGGCTCGGGGGTCTACTTCACAGGTGAGGAGGTGGGCAGCTTGGCCTGTAGCTGCTCTTGAAGGCTAGGGAGACCTTGAATAAACCCCTGACAGTCAGTGGACTTGGAGACCGTGAGAGAGGAGCGTTGGGGTGCCAGGATCCCCAGACTGAACTGGCATCACCCCCTGCTGCATCCTAATCCCTCTGACCCCACCCACCCTCCCAGGGCCTCCCACCGCTGAGCAGCGAGGAGGAGGATTGAATGGGACCCCAGCACCCGCTGGGGGTGTCCCTCCAACCCCGACCTCTCCCAGACTCGCTGAGAACCGGCAGGGTTAGGGTTAGGGTGGCCCCTTCGAGTTACAAGGCAAGTCCTGTGTCCCAAGGAGAAGGAGGGGTCGCCACCTGATTCCCAGGCCCTGCTGGGGAGAGACACTCCGCGTTCGGTCCTGTGGGCCCAGCCTGGCTCTGGTCCTGGGTCCCGGTGCCCTAGAGCAGCTCAGACCAGGGCCCTCAAGGCCTCTTGGGCGTCGGGTCCTCTGTGCCCTGGACCTGCCCTGGTGCTCCTCTCTCGCTGTCTCGGCCACAGCAGCAAACGCAGACACTCCCAGGTGCTGGCGCCGCCCCCGTGGTCTCCCCTTGTGGCTTGAGTGACTTCTCCCCACCGCCCTTGGTGCTACTGGGAGGCTGTGCTCCATCCCTCTGGGCCCTGATAACCTCTCCCTGCCCTCGAGGCCGGGACTGCCCCTCGGGAGGCAGGGCTGGCTGGGTGGGGGGCCAGGTGTGGCTTTTTGCAGGCCTGTCTTCACGGAGGGGCGGTAACCCTCTGACAATAAAGGTGCTCTCCCCATGTGGTCGGGTGTCACATGGTAGCGGCCGTCGTCGGGGAGGCCGGGCCAGCTTCAGCCGGGCCCAGCCCCGGGGGATCTGATGGGAGGGAGTCAAGGGGACCACAAGGCCCCGAAGCAAGGCGGCCTGGCCCTGCCCCCTGGGAGCCCCACGTGGGGGCCTAGAAGAGCGAGGGGTGCTCTTCGGAGGCCGCCCCACCCTCCAGTCTAGGCTGGGCCCTGGGCCAGCGCTGCTAGCGGGAGAGAGTGAGGTGGGAGGGTTCCCGGTGCTGGGCAGAAGGACCCCTACCCACCATGCTCCTGCCCTGGGCCTGGGGTCCTGGACTTTCTCGTCCGGGCCCAAGTGCAGGTGGGGGCCCTGGGACCGTCCCCTGAGTCCTCAGCTGAGGTCGGGGACTGGCTGAATGCCGCCCAGGGCTTCCTGCAAGCCATGTCCCACCAGAACTCAGAGCCTTGCTGGGCCCACCACCACCACACACGCTCTGACAGCAGCCCCCTTCCCACGGCAAGACGGTGTGTTTCCAGCTGGAAGTGTCGGGCTGAAGCAGGAGCCAGGGGCCCAGTCTGGGAGGACCCTAAACACTGGATGGGGAGAAGCTGACCCAGCGGGGCTGGGTGGCTGTGGCCGCTTCTCACCGTCAGTCCGGCCTCCCCTTCCACCTGGATGGTGGAGCGACCTTTCTGACGTGCACGCGGGCAGCACCCCCTTTACTCATGAAGCAGCAGTGGCCTCTTGTTCCTGGTCCCCAGCCTGCTCTGCGACTTGTCACTGTCATCCAAGCCTCCATCCCCGTGGCTGCTAGCCACACGGAGGAACCACCTGGTCTTGTCTCTGTAACGCCTGTGGGTGCGGGTGCCCTGCAAGGCGCTTGGTGCCTGCAGGGCGTGGGAGAGAACAGGACACGGGGCCAGGGTGACTGGTACTCACAACCCAGGAGGATCATAGCTCTTGGCTTCAGGCGAGAGCCTCAGACGCATCGCCTCCTCTGACGCCCGTGGCCCACAGCTGGCTCGGGCCCCTCTGGTCCTTGGTTCCGTCGTGACCATGAGTGTCTGTGCTGATGTGTGGAGGCCCTGACCTGCTCAGCCTGCAGGTCCCGCGATGGATTTGGACAGTGAGGCACATCACCTGGAGTGCCCCTGCGATCTGGGATGGGGCTTCCATGGTGTGGGCCCCCCTCCTCTGCCCAAAACTGCCCATCTCCCTGCAGCCCCTGGGGAGGGGGTTCCTAAGGGTCAGCCCAGTGCAGGGGGCAGGCATCCCTGAGCCCCTACCCCACCACCCACCTGCAGGGTCCACCCAGAGGGATAAGGAGGGAGAATCAGCTCAGCCTCCCCCCCGCCACACTACCCTGCCCTCCCCTCCCCATCTCCTCCCGGAGCCTGCTCAGCTCGCCATCCCCCTGCCACCCTCAGGGCACACCCACCCTCTCTCCAGGCACTGCCTCCTGTGCCCTAGTGTCCAGATCAAATCAGAACAGGGGCTGACAGCTCTTCACTAACACTCTCCCTTCCAGGCCCGCTCCCTAGTCCGTGGGACCCTCTTCTCTCTGCCTGGCTGAGCCTGGGGGAGCAAGACACTGAAGGGCGCAGACTCAGGCCCTGACTTGGGCCCCCCTCCCTGGCCGGGGTCCCCAGGGTCTCCTGGGCAGGGCAGGTGTGGGGCCGGGAGTCTAGGCCTGGATGCAGTTCCTCCACACCCACAGCCAGGAACCCCTGCCAGCCCTACCGTAGTCAACTACCAGCCAAAACAGAAATTCAGGATCCCCTAGGGCAGACAGTGGCTCACTTGGTAAAGAATCGGACACCCGGGTTCGATCCCTGGGTCGGGAAGATCTCCTGGAGGAGGGCATGGCAACCCACTCCAGTATTCTTGCCCGGAGAATCCCATAAACAGAGGAACCTGGCGGGCTACAGTCCATGGGGTCACAAAGAGTCAGACATGACAGCGTAGTCGTGTCGCAAGACACTTTCACTTTCAGGTCAGACAGTGACTCTTGGCAAGTGCCTGCCTGTGGTGGCCACAGTGTGGAGGGGACTCGGGCTGTGCTGACCTTCAGTGGCTCCCACCAGGTCAGCAGCACCTGCGGTTAAAACATCCAAAGGCCCCTGTGCTGACTGACCACAGCTCCCCGCATGCCCCCACCATCCCAACCCCTCCTGTAGCCTCCCTGGAGTCTAGGACCGGGCTCCAGTGCCAGGAACAGAACCTATGGTGATGGATGGGCTCCTCTGCTACACTGATCATAAAATATCTTTAGTGTCTCTCCTGACACAGGCAATGAGAAGCTGATGGCAGAGCTGGGGGCCAAAGGGTACTTCTGCCCCTGCCTGGGGGAACATGATGGCCTCAGACAGGAATTCATAGCTGATGTGCCGCCTTGGGGCTTCCCTGGTAGCTCAGATGGTAAAGAACTCTCCTGCCAAGGCAGGAGACATAAGAGATGCAGGTTCGATCCCTGGGTGGGGAAGATCCCCTGGAGGAGTGCATGGCAACCCACTCCAGTATTCTTGCCTGGAGAATCCCATGGACAAGAGGAGCCTGGCGGGCTACTGTCTATAGGGTCACAAAGAGTCAGACACGACTGAAGCAACTTAGCACGCACGCATGTGCTGCCTTGGGACAGGCCCCTGGAAGGAAAGCCTGGATGGGCATGGTCGGAAACCTGGAAGTTGGCCAGAAGCCCCAGTGAGCCCACGCTAGGGTTGTTGGGGCATTCCAAGAGGACTCCTGTTTTCTGGGGCACCCCCTTGGGACTTGAATTCAAGAGAACACGGCCACCTGTTTTCTGGACCAGGAGGGAATCAGGGTGAGGCTGGAAATTAATCAGACATTCACCTGATCCCCCAGGGGTTAAGGGGTCACCTCTGAGCATCTCCTTTCCCAGAATGCACTGGGCGAGGCTGGCCCCCTCCAGGCTGGGTGGGAAGGGCACCTGGGGGCACTTTCTTCTCATCCTGCACTTGGTGAGTCCCAAAGGCACATGAGGGGCTATGGGACTATTCTGCCTGCAGGCCGGGAACCGCCCAACTCAGGCTCTGAGCCCCAGCCAGAGGTGGTCCAGGGGCCACTGGGGTCCCCAGCCCAAGCTCTCACCTGCCTGGATCAAAAAGTCACCCTCGGGTTCCCCATCCCCCTGCCCCACCCCATGTCACTCAGCTGTGATCTTCTCATGGGGAGGGTCACACGTGTGTCCCCAGTGCCCAGCTCTGATCACCGCAGTGAGTCACAAAGGAGAGGGACTCCTTCCCAGATCCCAGAGGCAGTGACCGAGGTGGTGAGGGGGGCCTCGATCAGACCCAAAGCCCCCTCCCCACTCTGACTAACCTGTACCCGCAATCCCTGCTACCCTGAGGTTTCTGGAACCTCTCCTCCAGACCTAGTTTATGGATTATAAAAAAGAGAATTTCACAAGATTTGCAATTACTTGAATTCCAGGGAGATTTATTTCCAATGTGATTAATAAATTCTAATGTCATCTATAACTTTCAATTGCCAGTTAATTAACATGCAATGGGTGCATTGTAAAAGGCAAATT